ATATAATGCCGCCAAAAATTGAACTTAATTTGTTGGTTATGTGATAAATATCAATTTACCTTAATATATCCTTAATTAAAGATTCTCTAATTCAATCTAATTCCGTAAATGATAAATTATATTATATCCTTAATTAAAGATTCTCTAATTTAATCTAATTCCGTAAATGATAAATTAGATTTCTAGCTCAACATGAAACGTCATTTTATTTACCGGTTCAACCTCGCCATATTCTTAAATCATAACATGATTTGCAGGCATGAAATCGTAGGAGAAGTGACAGAAGTGGGTGGCAAAGTAACGAAGGTTGGAGATAAAGTTGGTGTTGGATGCTTGGTTGGTGCATGCCACTCCTGTGATAACTGTGTAAACAATCTTGAAAATTACTGTCCCAAATGGATACTCACTTACAACTCCATTAACGCTGATGGAACTATCACACATGGAGGCTACTCCGATCATACGGTCACCAATCAACGGTACATTGTTCGGTTCCCTGATAAAATGCCACTTGATGCTGGTGCTCCTCTTCTCTGTGGAGGGATTACAGTTAAAAACCAATAAAAAAATAAAGGATAAACAAAAAAGGAAAAAAAAATAGAAAAGAAAGACATAGAAGGAATAGAAAAAAAGAAAATAAAATTGCCAAGGCTTTTGGAGCTAAAGTGACAGTAATTAGTACCTCTCCGAGCAAGATGAAAGAAGCTTTGGAACATCTCGGTGCTGATTTATTTTTGGTTAGCCGTGACCCTGAACAAATGCAGGTGATTAGTTAACATTTTCCTGATTCTATATATATTAGTAAAAATTGAATTTTTGATTCTCAATAACTCACTTAATTTGACAGGCTGCAATGGGCACAATGGATGGCATTATTGATACGGTTTCATTTGTCCACCCCATTTTGCCATTGATTAGTCTACTGAAGACCAATGGAAAGCTTATTCTGGTTGGTATCCCAGAAAAGCCACTAGAGTTACCTGTTTTCCCTTTGGTTCTGGGTAAGACGTTTACTCACAATCTTCTTGGTTATCCTCTCTGTAGCTGTTTTTTTTGGTTTGGTGTGCAGAATTAATTAATAAAAGATGTGACAACAGGAAGGAAGACAGTGGCTGGGAGTGGGATAGGAGGAATGAAAGAGACCCAAGAGATGATTGATTTTGCAGCAAAACACAACATAACTGCTGATATTGAAGTTATTTCGACGGATTATGTGAACAAAGCTATGGAGCGACTTGCCATGGCAGATGTTAGATACCGATTTATCATTGATATTGGGAACACCTTGGCAGCTACCAAGCCTTGATGACTGGCTCCGTGTATTTCCTACTTTATCCCACTGTTTTAGCGGTTCATTCCTTGTACATTAATAAGGGTGCATCAGTGTTTAAGTAAATGTACAGATGTATGACATAATGTAACATAAAAATAATGATGGATGTCTCATGTTATTCACTCTTCTATTGACACAGCAGGTAAAAGTCCATCCTTTTATCCTAAACGCAAGAGTTCTTGCTTTTTATATCATCCAGGGAAGAAACATTTTCAAACCAAATTATATACCTGAATCTGATCTTGTCATGAATCAGTACCAAGATAATCAATAGCTTCCCACAGCTAGTGGGAGAGGTACTGATCACTGTCACCTTATTAATTACCACTTTCAAATGCATGAAAGATTAAATAGAGAAATGACAAAACAAAATAGAGAAATGACAAAACAAAATCCAGTTTAACTTGGAAATAAAGAGAGTTTTGGGTAGAAAAGCAGACCCAGGGACAAGAGGGTAACTAGTAAATCCTTACCCATTTTTGCTCAATATAATACTCAATTCCCAAAATTGACTTGAGTAAGTAGAAATTTCAAGAGTTAAATGATATCATATATAACGCTTTTTAATCCAAACTGAACCTAACACACTCCTATTTGCTCATATATATGCAATTTACTAGAAATCATATCCCCACCCAATAGGAAAGGAAAAAATGGTAGCTCCAGTGGCTTCTCTGGACAACCACAAGAACAAGTTTTCCATTTGTTTTCAGTAGTCCTAACAATGGCAAGAGGATGAAGCGTTGGTACTGTATCCATTATACCATTCATCAAACTCATGGCAGCCTGTATTCAACATCAACGTTTGAAACAAATGAATAAATCTCACTCTCCGAAACAAACATGCTTAGGTAATTAAAGAACCTGTATCTCTTCTTGGTCATGGCTGACCAAAAATGAGTTGGCACCGAGATGTTCAGTAGCTTCTTTCTTCTTGTTAGGAGAGGTACTGATGACAGTGACCTTAACCCCCATCCAAAGGCCTTCTTTTGCTGCACTTAATTGCTCTGTTATTTCATCCATTAATATCCAGGCCTTTGTATATCTTTGATTTCAGTACAACGCAAACTGGGAGCAACAATGAAGGGGGAGTCCAAGAGCTTGCAAAGAACAATAAAATCTCTAACAAGTTAATAGATTTTACTAAGGATATTAATGGTGGGTGGGAAAATGTCTTAACAGATTGTAACGGTTGGTGGATAATTACCGTTTCCAAACTTTTGGATAATAAATTGTTGTTAGGGCAACTTCGGGTTCAAAAACAAAATATATATTACTCATTTTATTAAATATGTAATTTTATTAATATAAATTTCTAATTAATTTTTCAACATTTATTTTATATACTTTAAAAAATCCAGTCCTCTCAACCAAAATTTATATACGTGGTTCATAAAGTAACATGACCTTCACGGCTTCACCAAGATTTCTCAAGAAGTTAACTACCGAGGGTTTGATAATGAAAGCACAGGAGAAGGTACAAAAAGAGAAGAAAGCAATTGTAAACACTGGTTTCACATCAAACAAACCATTTTTTTGTACGAGAGTAATATTACATTTATATAGAAATCTTATAAAAATCTTAATAAAAAGTGAAATGGTAAAAAATTAATAAAAGAGTAAATATAAAAAAAATATTATATATACAAAGACTCTTACAAAGAGTCTTTGTACAAAATGATATAACACATCATTAGTTTGTGAAAAGAAAGAGAAGATGGATGTGAAATTAGCGGAGTAACAGCTGTCATTTTACTTTGTACAGATGTAAGAACCTCTAGCATTTCCCGTAAATATAATGAGTTTGACTTTTTATTTTACTTTTTCTTTCATTTTATGTCATCTCAATTTACTGAAAAATCTTTGTAAAATTTCTTTGTTAGTATTATTCTTCTTATACTATATGTACATGAGTGGACTGTGGAGTTGCTGTCAAAGTGTCCAATACTCAATATAAATTTTTATTTAATTATATATGCTTATTCAAAGAAAAAATAACAAACACACATATATAGATAATAGACTAGGGGTCAAAACCAGGTATTCGAGCCAGTTTTGCATGTACCCGACCTGGCTCAAATATTTGGGTAATTCTGAACACCCCTATTATGGATTATATTAATTTAATTCGGGTAATTATAATTTAGTCACATTATAAAAAATTCAATTCAGTTACCATGTTTGGTTCGGATAGCAGGTAATTTTGAACACCCCTGATTATATTTATGTTTGGTCACATCAAATTAAAGGTCAAACATGTAAAAGTGAACATCCACAGACTACTTGTCTTCACACTTCATTATCTTTAACAATATATATATCTTCTGATTGATTCATAATATTGGGATACTTCTAATTAAATAAATGTTAGTCAAATTTTATGATATATTTATTATAATTGGAGTAATTAAAAGCAAACAAAATAATTAAAAAAAATTAATGAACTTATAATTTATTTCTTATTTTCTCAGTCTTCCATTCTATATTCTTCCGATGGGTGGCTCCTTAATTCAGGAACTATTTATATTGTATATTATATAAATTTATAAGGAAAACATATGACTTTTGTCTTAACTGGTCATCCCCAATATTTAAAAAAGCATAAATTATTGATTCTAATTCCTTAATTAAATCATTATCTTATTACTCGATTTCAGAATTTATAATTAATTACTTTCTTAATTTTATTTTTAAAATATTAAAATCAATTTTTAATCGAACCAGTATCTACAAAAAATATTGTTTAGTTTCACATTTGAATCACTTAAAGTATTTTATATTTTATATTCAATATCAAAAATTGATTTAACAAAAATTAAGTTTATTTTCATATAAAAAAAAATTTAAGGTTCAAATATTTTTTGAGCTCTATTTATTGCTTTGTATCAGCCACCCCGGAATTTAAAATCAAGTAGTAAAATTGATTTGAGGTGTAAAAAAAAAAAAGGGAATTAGGTTTATAGTATGAAAGATTGAAAAAAGGAAACAATATTTGTCTTCTTAAATAACTTCGATTAAAAGTCAAATGGCATTAACAGGACCAGCTAATCTTTATTAATATTATGTATGGTGATAAAATCTTATAAAAGATTTCCTTTAATATGAATGAAATTAAAATTACCCGAATTATTTAAAATAAATAAATAAACAGTTGCTAACTGACAATTTTTTGTAAATTTTAGAACAATTATGTTAATTATAGGAACATAAAAATTAATATAGAAGGGGTATTTTAGACTTTTATTCAAAAAAAAATTGTTTGTTTATTTAAATATTTTTAACTATTCTATTCATACTATTTCGATCTTGCCTAAGAGTAACACGGGCCTAAAATAAATGTTGTTATCAGATTCAACTAGACCCTAATTTACTTTGCTAAACCTCACCTCAGGGACGACAATGGATTTAACTTCTCTCGTGGCACACATACACGCCCATCATACACCACAAACACAAACCACGAAAAACCCAAAATCTTTTCCTTAATTATTGTCATCCAGAATTATCTGTAGAAAAAAAGAAAGAATATGAATGATCAAGAAAATTAAAGTGTGAAACTTTTTTCATGAATTGCCTCACCAACTACGTAATCCTTGCGTAATAATATCTTACTTTATCCTACTATAAATACCGCCACTCCATATCACTCAATTGTCCAACATATAATATAATCCTCAACTCCTAACAAATTAAAGCCACATATACCAATTCAATACCATTCCTTTTTGAAGTAAGAAATTAAGATTGGAGAAGATTCATGGGGACAGCGGAAGAGCAAAAAGTACAACAAAAGAAGGCCTTTGGATGGGCGGCCAGGGATACCTCTGGTTTTCTCTCTCCTTTCAATTTCTCCAGGAGGTTTGTGTCTCTTCTCTCACCACTATCATACTTTTATCATCTGTTTTTGCCTCTTTTTTTTTTTTTTTTTTATTTGTAACGCTGTGTTGATCAAACGATTCGGTAAACAGAGCAACGGGGGACAAGGATGTGACGTTCAAAGTGGTGTATTGTGGGATATGCCATTCGGATCTTCACATGATCAAAAATGAATGGGGGGTTTCTACATACCCTCTTGTTCCAGGGTAAGTATCTTTTTGTCTTAATGAATTGTGCTATTAAAATCTTTTATATATCCACTGTTCTTGAGAATAATCTTGAAACTCAATGGAAATGGGTAATTAACGCAGGCATGAGATTGTGGGCGTAGTGACAGAGATTGGGAGCAAGGTGGAAAAGTTCAAAGTTGGGGACAGAGTGGGAGTTGGATGCATGGTGGGATCATGCCGCTCTTGTGACAGCTGTGCCAACAATCTTGAGAATTATTGCCCCAAAATGATACTTACCTATGGTGGCACATACTACGATGGAACCACCACATATGGAGGCTACTCTGACATTATGGTTGCCGATGAGCACTTCATTGTTCGAATTCCTGACAACTTACCTCTTGATGCGGCTGCCCCTCTGCTTTGCGCCGGTATTACAGTTTACAGTCCTTTGAGATACTATGGACTCGACAAACCTGGAATGCATGTGGGTGTGGTTGGCCTTGGCGGGCTAGGCCATGTAGCCGTCAAGTTCGCGAAGGCCATGGGGGTTAAGGTGACTGTGATCAGTACCTCTCCTAACAAGAAGAAGGAAGCTATTGAACATCTTGGTGCTGACTCATTTTTGGTTAGCCGTGACCAAGATGAGATGCAGGTATGTAACTTAAAAGATCAAGCAATTTTGTGTTTATTATGATGCTCCTAATGGTTCTGTTTTTCGTTGGCTATTTAGGCTGTCATGAGCACAATGGATGGTATTATCGATACTGTATCTGCACAGCACCCTCTAATGCCATTGATAGGACTACTGAAATCTCATGGAAAGATTGTTCTTCTTGGTTTATCGGAGAAGCCACTAGAGCTGCCAGTTTTTCCTCTGCTCGTGGGTGAGATTTAATGAAACTATACCAATTCTTGTGACTGATTGTTGTGGCTTTGATTTAGTTAATTGGAATTCTGGTTAACGAGTGTTATGGATGGCATTGCAGGGAGGAAGATAGTGGGTGGTAGTGCAATTGGGGGGATGAAGGAGACTCAGGAGATGATTAATTTTGCAGCAAAACACAATATAACTGCAGACATCGAGGTTATTCCCATCGATTATGTGAACACTGCCATTGAGCGTCTTGTGAAAGCGGATGTTAGATACCGATTTGTCATTGACATCGCCAACACCATGAAATCATCTAGCTCTAGTTAATTACTTTATTCCCATAGTTAGAGATAATTAAGAGGATGAATATTGAATCTCTTACTCTTATAATGATTCAACTCTATTTCTAGTCTCGACCGATTGTATGTTACAAAAATAAATGAATAAATGATATTTATGTGACTTAAGTCTTGTTATATGTCTTTTTATGTGACTTTAATATGTAAATGTAGAGTTGATATAGTGGTGAGTGGTTTGCTAAGAATACAAAAGAAAACACACCATTTGCATGTGAAATATGGGATTTCACTTTAAAAGTATAGTCAATTTAAATGTAGGCATAGATTGATATTCCCCAAGAATTTATTTGAGAGCTAGAAAATAGAAATGACAACATTGGGTGATATGATGGGTTGGGTTTTGTGAGTCCCAACCCATTTGGTTGCTGTATGCCCAACCCAATGACTTTGGGAAAGTCTAATCACAACCCATTTGCATTTGCTTGGCAAAAACCAATAAATATTTTACTACTATTTTCACTTTTTATTATATTATATACTTCTCTAATATTATTTATCTTGATCTATTTATTATTTAAGTTACAATTTAATAGGTCCCAAATACAGAGAATGAAATGATCAGATATTTTGTCTTCTTTTCGGGTGAAAAGTGTACCACAGTTTGCATAGAAATAATTACTTGCTTTCATTGATGACTGCGGCTGCTTAAATAAAGCAAAGCCTCGTACAAGTAAACCGAGATAAAGGGAAACTAACTGAACTGCAATCCACGTAAATAGACAAGTAAATAACATAAACAAAACACTCCAGAAGTTAAGCATAACTCATGCACGTAAATCGATGCGTAAAAGCATAACTCATGCACATAAATTCGTGCGTAATCCTGCAACTGAAACTCACACGAAATCTTGCAACTGCCTTGACCCATTCCTGCTCGTCACGACCAGCTTATCCCAACGTCGTGGCCTATCACAATTTTAAATCATACCCTATCTTTGCCTTAAAAGACAATTTTCCAATCCTGGTTTGACTCTTTTTTTTTTCAAATTTAGACATTAAAAATAATTAAAGAAGGGCTTTCACCTTGTTTCACATGACATATATAATATAAAACAAACAACAAAAAATTAAACATAGTCAAATTACAATTTTTAATGGGTAGAATTAAATTTTTTTCACCAAATCTTTTGGAAATGATAATTTTCTACCCCTGGTTCTATCAACATATATGGGCCACGCAGATCATTAGAATGATTGTGTGTTTGATTTTTGATTTTTGATTTTTTATACTTTTAATTTTTTGATGTTTAAAGTGTGAAGGGAAACTTTTAGTATTAAATCCAGACTCCCCAACTAACGGCTTGATGAATGTTCATATCATACCTGCCACTAGTCTTTTTGATTGAAAAATGCAAATTCAATTGTTAAAGCACAAGAAGAAGAATAGAAAAATACGGTAATAGTCAATGATTCAGTCACTTTTTCTCAAGTGATCAAGCTACTTTTTTTGCTACCTTTATATATTCAAACCATACCGTGTGTAAAGGCAAATTGTATTTCCATGCCACTAAAATATTTGTTGTCCAATGTCAACGTGGTCATGTCTTTCGGCAGTCGGCGCACAATTTTGCAGGGATCCTCCTTCACAATAAACCAGAAACAGAAATTATTTTCCACATCTTTAATGACCATAATAGTATAATACTTCCAGAATTATCTATGCATGAGAAAATCAAAGCAGTTACGTGTCGAATATGTTAATTACCAGATCCATGAGTAAAAGGGAAAGAAAGAAACCCCATTTATTACCTCACCAAGTACGTAACCCTTGTGTAATACAATGAATACCTCATTTCATTTTTGCCTTCTATAAATACACACCACCTTCACTCATTTCTCTATTTCTTTCTTCCTCAGTATTTACTTTCACAGAAAAATTAGAAGAAAAGATTCATGGGGTCTGTAGCGGAGCAAGAGCACCCGAAGAAGGCTTTTGGATGGGCTGCCAGGGATAGCTCCGGTGTTCTCTCTCCCTTTAATTTCTCCAGGAGGTTTTGTTTTTCATTGATTAAACATTTCTTATAAATCATTTTGATGTTGTGTTGAATGTGTGTTTTGATTTGCAGAGCAACGGGGGAGAAGGACGTGACCTTCAAAGTGTTGTACTGTGGGATATGCCATACAGATCTTCACAAGATCAGAAACGAATGGAAAAATTCTAAGTACCCAATTGTTCCAGGGTATGTATCACAATTAATTCTAATATAAAAATAATGGAGATAAAAAATTAAAGTGCAACTGAAATTATGAATACATTACAATTTAAAGCCGTGTCGTCTTGCATGTATATGTCTCTGCAGGGGCCCCTTTTTTTCTTATATTATTATTGCCAAAGCACCAAACTAAACTAGGAATGTACTACTAGGAAGAAAAGGTTTCTTCCTCCTAAGGAAAAAATGTATTTATATATTTAAGCTATGAAAGTAAAGCCGTGTTATAAGCCAAATTCACATATTTAATTTACGTCACCTTACTTAAAAATCAAATATATATATATATATATATATATCTAACGATGATTAAAATAGTATAAAAAAGTGGTAATTGGGTTATTTGAAATAAAAATAATGAGAAAATCTACTTTTAAATAGTTTAAGGGTTCAAGAAAGAATATTAAATGTATTATTTAAGAGGTTTTAAATTCGAATCTTTTATCGATTGTTAATAGGGATAGTCATTGAAACTTTTATTTAATTAATAATTTTAAGATTTAAAAAAATTAATTAAAGTATGTGTAAAAGAAAAATTAACGAGAAAATGAGTGATTAATGAGAAAATGAGTGTTTTGACTAATTTTCGATTAAAAACAAAATAGTGGAAGAGATGTCAACTTCCCAAATGGAGAAAATTGGACTAATTCTTCTTGGCCAAAGTCAACGTAAAAAAGTTAGCTCACGTTACCNTATATATATATATATATATATATTAGTTTAAGATTTGATTTTTCTAAGATCCTATAAATATTTGATACTATTTCATCATCTAAACTGTTTTTCATGCACAAAATTAAGATGGTAAAAGTGATAAATCACAATGCTATCTCTCTATTTAAGGAAATGTTTTAGTATTTTTCTTTAATTTCCTTTTAAATCAATTTTCTCTTTGGAGATTAATCATATATTATTTTACAACTAATTTATAATTTGAACTCTTCCTATGGAGCTAGAGTTCTAGGATCAATGATCCTCACACACAACGTTAAGGGAATCAATTTAATTTTTGTTTGGTGCTTGGAGATTAAAATAATAAATAATAGCAGTAACTTAATTTTAACAAGAGCCCAATAATTAACCTAAGTAGGTTGAAACTTATGAAACTTATGATTGGGGAAGACATTTTCAGATTATTTGGTCTTACTGATGTCTTTGTTAATACTGTTCTGTGAAGTCTTATTTTATTAATTAGCTAAATTTTGCTATTTTTCCTCTTTGGATACATAAGTGTATTTTTCTATAGATGCAATGACTCCTCTTAATATATAGTCTTGAAAATCCCTTTGTATAGAAGTTTGGTAAAGAATATTTTTCGTCCGAAACTCTAAATCCTAAATATCTCGGTTGAGATTGTCTTTGGAAGTATTCATGTGATCATGGGCTTTCCAGGCATGAGATTGTAGGTGAAGTGACAGAGGTTGGGAGCAAAGTGGAGAAGTTCAAAGTCGGAGACAAAGTGGGGGTCGGATGCATGGTGGGATCATGCCGCTCTTGCGATAACTGTGCCAACAATCTCGAGAATTACTGCCCCAAAATGTTACTCACTTATGGTTCCACTTACCTTGACGGAACCATCACATATGGAGGCTACTCTGACTTCATGGTTGCCGATGAGCACTTCGTCATCCGTATTCCAGATAATTTACCTCTCGATGCCAGCGCCCCTCTCCTCTGCGCTGGAATTACAGTTTACAGTCCTTTGAGATACTATGGACTCGACAAACCTGGAATGCATGTGGGGGTGGTTGGCCTTGGTGGGCTCGGCCATGTAGCAGTCAAGTTTGCGAAGGCCATGGGGGTTAAGGTAACTGTCATCAGTACCTCTCCGAACAAAAAGAATGAAGCTATCGAACGTCTTGGTGCTGATGCCTTTTTGGTCAGCCGTAACCAAGACGAGATGCAGGTATGTATTTTGCATTGGAAATTCTTTTAGTTTTTTGGCGGACTTGTGTATATAATGTCTCTAATGTTGTGTTACTGTTGGATGTTTAGGCTGCAAAGGGCACAATGGACGGCATTATCGATACAGTATCAGCCCCTCACCCAGTCCTGCCATTGATTGGATTAATAAAATCTAATGGAAAGATCGTTCTTGTTGGAGCACCAGAGAAGCCAGTAGAGCTGCCGGTTTTTCCTCTGATCGGCGGTGAGCATTTTATTAATTTTTGGTTGTTGTGATTTTATAAATTTGAAATATTGGTTAACGATTAGTGCGGAATGGGTGCAGGACGGAAGATGGTTGGGGGAAGTATGATTGGGGGGATAAAAGAGACACAGGAAATGATTGACTTTGCGGCAAAACACAAGATAATGGCAGAGATTGAGGTGATAGCAGTGGATTATGTGAACACTGCAATGGAGCGACTTGAGAAGGCGGATGTTAGATACCGATTTGTGATTGACATTGCCAAAACAATGAAGCCATCTACCTCTTAATTAAAATTAAAGCTGTGAGAGGATGACTTTTTACCCTCCAAATTTTTATTTTTTATCGTGTTACATATTGCTATTGACAATTTTTCACCAAAAATAAATTAGGGAAGTGATTTTTCCCTCATCTTCTATTTTAAGTGAGGTTATAATTATAATAAAATCTTTTTTTTCTTCTTCCTCCATTCTTTACACTTTGGAACTTTATATTTATACTTCTCAATCGTAATTAAGAATAAAACAGAAAATTTCCTCAATCGAAATTTGTGATACCTCATGTTTTGTTTTATTGGGTATGAAACCATGTTGGAAGGATTTAGAAATGATTATTTGATTGTAAGAGCTTTGAGGTTGTGATCCTGTAAACAAATTAATTTATATTTGTATGATAATGAATTTATGATACTAGGTGTTTTGTTTTTATGGGTATGAAATCTGATTTAAGATTTAGAATTAATTA